CTTTGTTTGCTTGACCCTGAAAGGCAGAGGAAGCTGAAGACTTTATTTATTCAACCCCAAGACATGGGAACTTACAGAACATTGTCACTTCCCAAAGAGCTTTAGTTTTTATTTTCCTTCTCAGCCCGTGTGGGTTCTGTTTGCCTTATGGATTTTTCACAGACAGTTTGCTACCAGCCTTGGACATCTGTGAGTTGCTTGTGCATGGCTGTCAGTTGAAAGAACATTCTTTGTAGCTGCATGCAAATAATCATGCAGCTTGATGTCAGAAATCACTCCAGTTTTGATCAAAAAGCCTTACCACTTACCAATTCACCTTTTTAATTAGAATGTGTGTTATTTCAGAGCACATTTGAAGTCTTTTACATCAGTGGGATGACGGATGCTAACATGGGAAGCTGAGGGAAGTGGTCACAATCAGAAGTTGGCCAACACGATAGAGCACATGGACTTTGCAAAACTCACTATCCCATTCTACTTCTGCCTTTAGAAGATTATTTTGATGTTGTATTTCACGATGAAATGTATCCTTTAAAAGAACAGGGCTCCTTAAGAACCCAGAAACCTACAAGTGATAGAAGGTCAGGCACACAAACAGCTAAGGCAGATTGAAGACAAGCCCTGTGGGTTACATTAGACTGAGGATCTATCCAGAATATTTGTAAAAAATTCTAAACTCTCTCTGTCATGGTTGCCAATTCCAAGAAAATGAGCCTCAGATTGCACCAGGGGTTTTCCCATCAGGTCTCTCACTTTTGTTTGGCTGAGAGTGCAGACACCAATCCTCAGTTTAGAGAGAGCAAAGGATAGAAGGACTTTCCCGCTCGGGGAACTGTTTTGCATAAGGATCCCAAGAAGAAAAAAGGCCTTTATGGTCTTTCTGCTGCTGCTAGGGCCACCAGTACTCCTGGTTAGTACACACCTGCACAGACATTTACAGCTGCTCCTACCAAGAGGAAGAGCAAGCTGTGAGAGCACCTCACCTAATCCTAGGGGGAAATGCGTTCATGGAAGGGGCTCTTGGGCCAAATGCTGAATGGAATCTCCAACACTGAATGGCTCTATTTATGTTCTCACTTCTCTGTGCTGCAGAGAGGAGTGTGGGGTGTGCTGTGCTGCAAAGCTGCAGGCATTCTGCAGGGAAAAAAAGGCTTGTGCTTGGGGTAGGAAGAATGGCTTAGCTATGCTGTACTCTATAGATTATTTGGACCCAAAGATCGATGTCATAACCCACTGCATTTTTTACAGCAGTTAAATAAATAGAAGGCTAATGGCAGATGGTTTCACTTAAACTTCAAGAAAGGCACCGCCTATATGTCAGTTTGGTATTGGCGTAATGAGCCAACAAGATTCTGAATTACAATAAAAGCAAATTTAGGAATGAAACCTACTGGAGACTTAAATGGTCTCTAGTGCATAGTTAGATTTCTAAAATAATAGTTGCAATCCAGCATAACAAACATGGCTTGCTTAAAAACAAAAGCTGGAGTTTAACTGTAAATTGCAGTTGGTTTTCATTCCCATGAGAAACTGCAAGATATTTTTTCTTGGAATAACTTCTCCGAAAGGCAGACCAATGGTGCCTCCAAAACCATGTAGAGTGGGACTAGGACTCCACAGTTCTGCTTTTTTCCCTCCAGGCTTACCAACAGTAAGGTCCCTAGGTACCATCAGGCAGATTTTCTGCAAGTACTACATGTGTCCACAAATGCTGGGGCTCTGATGTTGGGCAGAGGTGGGTCAGAATTGGGCATGTCTGGCTGCAGGGGCCAAGGGCAGAGCTGTGCCACGGGACAGCAGCCAGCAGGGAAATGGGAGAAGGGTAAAGGGCTGCAAGAGCATCTAGGGAGGCAGAAACGGAGGAGCTGACAGCAAGTATTGACTGTGAATTGGGGGATGGCCCAGCAAGCTTGGAAAGGAGCTATGAACAGGGCGGGAGGAAGGAACAGGGAGTATGAGGGAGAGGATTAACATGTACTAACGTGCAACAAGTTCCTATACTTAAAAAAAATTACATTAAACATATTTAACATATCTTAATACACTAAATATATTTAAATATTCAAATATATTTCTGTGCACCTGCACAGATGCCCTCAGTAAGGATCTGTCTAGCTTATCCTCAAGCTTGCAGAGGGGCATGGGTGGTTCAGGCTGACTGGGAGAAGAAGCATGTGGCAGAAAACTACAAGTAATGGCCATTTTTACTCTTTTCCAACATACAGCAACTGAATACTTTAAATCAAGTTTTTATCCTGAAATTTAATCATGTACTGTTATTGCCTTGTACAATATTGTTCTCCTCAACTTCCATCTTACTGACTGCACACATGTGCATGCACGTGTCTACTACAAATATGTGCCACTACCTGCACAGCACAAGGACTGCCAGTGGTCAGACTCACCCCAACTCTTCCCTCACAGGAAACCTCTTCAGACTGTAAACTTGACTCTGCTTTGCACACTGGTGAAAACTGCCAGACCAGTCTTGCAGAACCATGTCATGAACTTCCATGCAGAGCCATGAAGGACAGGAGCTGACAACTCATTCTACTTTCTGATCTTTGTCCGTACCTGCTCTCTGTCAGTGGTGAGAATGGCTCAAGTCAGCTAAAGGCAGAGTCTCTAGTGGAGCTCAGAAAGTACTAGAGCAATCAAAGTGTGATCAGAAAAGGATGTATCCTGATGGGAAAAGACTGTCCAAGTAATTAAAAGGGTTGCTTCTCAACTGCACCGTCAACTGTTTCATGTTTGGAAACAGTTTCATGAGTAAACTTTAGCACACAGAAAAAGACCCTGCAGAAGAAAGTAAGTCATGAAGTTCTGAAAAAGTTTCACAAAAAAGACCCTTTTACTTGCATGCCTGTCATCTCCTCTGCCAGGGCTGTGGCAGCAAAAAGGAAGGGCAAGGAAGTTGTAGTAGAAAAGGTTTCCCTTCTTGCAAAGAGATCTGGCTGAGGCACAAGAAAAGGCAGGAGGGGACAAGTTCTTTCAGTGAAAGTGTTGCCAATTTCTCCCAAGGAGACTCATGGTTTTCTATCAGCCAACTCTCTGCAGGTGCACAAAGAATTAAGGTGGGTTCAAAAGAACTTAAGACAGCTGGGAGGAAAGCCTTGTTGACAGCTAACTTCCAGATGCTTGTTCAGGACATGCTCTGTCCCTACAGAGGGAGAATAGGGCGGAGAAACAATATTCTCAAAGGAGACAAATGGGTTCTTCTCCAGACAGAACATTCTAGGAAATAGTTTCCTTCAGGTTATCTACCAACAGTCAAATGAAAATCAAGCCAAGTTACCAACTGTTTCTTGTGTATCTTATAGTTTTGTTCCTAATACCTGGCTGGGTGTCACAGAGGAATCAGTGTTTGACACCATTGTTTACTTAATGCTATCCTTGTGTCTCATCTGTTTTGACATCTCTGCCCAAATCCCTGGACATTTTTTTATTTCCTGGATTATGCTGATGTTCCAAAGAAAAATCCCAAAGAACTCAAGAAAATATATTTCACAATGTTTCATAATAATGAAATAATAAATGAAGGATAAGACTTGTCACTGGATTCTGATGCATATTTTCCAAATTATATTTACTCCAACAACTGAAAAATTATTTCAAGTAAAACAAGACAAAGTAAACTGTCAGGAAGAAATACTTTGTTATTTAGAAATAGCATTTGTACTTCATGGGACTGTCTGGGACTTTAATATCATATTTACACTCTACTCTTATTTTTCATTTGTAGTACCATTTACTCCAACAACTGAAAAATTATTTCAAGTAAAACAAGACAAAGTAAACTGTCAAGAAGAAATACTTTGTTATTTAGAAATAGCATTTGTACTTCAAGTGACAAAGTACCCATTTGCACGTGATAATTCAGCTCAGCCAGAGAAGGATTTTTGTAATAGACATAAGAAGGGAGTTTCAGGCAGATAAATGCCAAAAATAATTCTGATATGTCTAATAAAAATTCCCCTAAGACAGCTGTACAGATTATCACACTCGACAGTACTGTATGGGAAAGTGTAATTATCAAAATGCTGAAAGTCTGAACTCATTTTTTTTCCCTTAGTTTATGGAAATTCGCATCATCAGATAATGTTTTCGGCATGCTCCAATTTAACAATAACATTTGGGTTTATGATTCTCATGTACTGTAAAACACAGACATTTTAAAAAAGCATTATGTGCAGAGTTACTCAGAAAGTAAAGTTTATACTGTTACAGGGTTCACAATGCATTTGATGACTGTGACAATGACCCCGTGCCCCAAACTTGTCTTAAACTGGCAGTTCCTCACCATAGGAATTAACGATATATTTGCACAGGCCATGTCCTGTCTCTCATGTGGGACTGAAATGTGGATCAAGAACATTTCTGTGCACTAATAAGCCTGTGCCCCACTGCAAAGCTGTTTTCCCTGCTGTCCTGCAGCACTGTAACATGATGATTATTAATCTTGACCATGCAGCGCTGAGAGGTCCCACTCACACTGAGTGTTGTATAACACAGTGGTAAACAGCTGAGGAAGCTGATGGAAGGCAGTCAGCATCCTAACAAACTAGCAAGGCCAAGGAATTTGCCCTGCTAGGCAGGCGTAGGAGGAACACAAATGAGAAGATGAGGACAGTCTCCACGGTCAATGGGATCTCTGCAGCCACCAAGTCAGAGAAGTTAAATCGTGTTCATGTAACCCTTAACCAGCTGTGTACAAATCAAGACTGGATGGCACCCCCTCTGTTCTTGAAGGAGTCAGAATGAGACACTGCAGAACCACTGGCCAAGTCCCATATATAGTCTGGGTGACCAGGCACTGGTGATCTGCCAGTACTCCAGATTCAAAGGGGACCCTGGCAACTAAGGCCCAGTAATGACCTGTTTCACTTCTTTTGCAAAGCTATAATGACAGACACTTGGTCTAAGTTTGCTTTCCATGCACACTCCAGGCACATCTCTTTGAAATTGTTCTCTTATCATTCTCTTTCATGTTTTGGACTTACCATTGATGTTTACAGCTGGCAACACTATAGACATCTTTGGCCTTCTGGTCTTATTATGTGTGGTGGCTGGCAATAACAGGTGGTCCTGGAAAACAGCGGAAAAGATGTGTTAAATCTACTCTGAAAGTACAGAGCTGGGAAAATTCCTTTCCATTTTGTGTTACAGGCATTCCACATAGAACTATTTACAACAGCTTAGAAAATTCATATCGTTGTGGAAGTCTTCCAAAAGTCACAGCAATTGCTCATGCTGTGTAACCAAGAAGAAATCTCTATTGCATGCAGTGGAATATGAAAAAGCCTTGATCATGGGGAAAGAGATGGAAACTACTATTAAGCCCTCATTCAACTGAGTACTTACGTATATATGATTAAAGTAGTTTAACTTGACCTCAACAATATTTAAACATGTGGTTAAAGGACCTTGCTGAATTGGAGTTTTACCTGCAGCACCATTTACTCTAAGTCATCTTGCTGTCTCTGTCAAGCTCTGCACCACATGCACTGTGCAGTAGGACTCACTGGTCAGAGTTGTGATGGGGTGTGAAATATGAGCTCTGCTGACAAAACCTCCCAGGGAAGTTTGATGCTAAAGCTGTGCTTTAGTATCATATCTCAACTGTGAGGTGCCTGGGTGCTGCCGTAAGACAGCAGCGCTCAAACTAACTACCTTGGGTTTGAGCTGTGGAAGCTGCATCTGCAGGGAACACTCTGGATATGGACCTGACCTGCAAGGAAAAATGCAGCCTTTCTTCAGGTTGGTTTTTTTTGCTGCTGCTAAATTCAAATTGCTCAAGGGAAAATACGGTTCTTCCCTTATCAACAGAACTTAAAAGCTCCAGTCCAGGCATCTCCCGTATTATAGTGCTTTGTTGATCTAGTTGGACCAAAGAAAGACTACTAAGGATGAGGGAAGCTTCCCATGTCTTTCAAAGTTTAGATTCCCTGACAGAACTTTGCTTCACTGCACTGTCTCAGCATGCAGTGGGCATTGTGAAGGAAGTATATTTGCTCTCTCTTAGTAATTAGGAACAAATGGCTGTTTATATAACTGTCGAATTGAGTTTAAATTTATAACTCAGGCTCTAAGTGAAACGAAAACCTGTCAATCACTAAGTACCTTTTCCAGGTCTCCAAAAATTAATGGAAAGGTTTATTTTCCCAGCTCCTGTGTTTGCCCTTCTCCCAATCCCAGCAATTCATTCCTAGTGTCCCTGAGAAAAATGAAAGCTGGCAGGTGTAACCACGCAAATATGTGGACACCAACTCATTAAGAGGTTTTTGTAACTGCCCTAAAACCAGAACAGAACATCTGCCTTTTGCTTTCCAAGAGCCAGACACATCATTAAAAAGCAGAAGCAAGTTTGATGGGCCCATCCCATTTCATGGGATGAAATTCCATGTTCCCACGTAAGAACAGGCATACACACATCTCATACTTTTGGCCAAGGTGATCTTTTCAGTAGACTGAATCAGACTTCCTTCAGGACACAGTTATTGATTTATTAATGTCAGGGTAACTGTATTTTGCCATTTTAATATCTAAACACTACATTTTTATGTGTAAGATTCAGGGAACTCAGTTACACACAGTTAGGTGTTAAATATATCAAGATATTCTGTAGACACAGAATTGAAGAAATACCACTCTCTTTTTTTCCCATCACAAATTTCCCCCCCAAAAACCCAAATGGCTGACCATGAGAAGAAAACATTACTTAAATGAATGTCTGTAAAAAACATCTTGGTACCAAAATTATAAAACCACTCTGGTATAAATCTCAGATCACACATGTAATTCCCATTTCACTTTTGAACCACTAAGATTAAGACAACATTCAGTACGACAATGAACTTTACATAAAAACCGTTCTTGAAATCCAATGTTCCCAAGGGAACAGGCCAAAGATAAGATGTCTACAACTGCATTTTGTAACAATGCCCTTGTCATGACTTGATGACTATTTTTAACATCGCTTAAAAATGCTTATACTGTTTTATTTTTCTTTTTCAATGTTTCTGAGAGTCCACTCCATCATTACTTAGCAAAATAGAAGTACTGCACACCTGAGAATCATTACAAGGAAAAACTATTTTTTGCTAACCTATCTGAAGATTGGTGCATTAATTTATCCTGGCTTAGCTTTGCTTATAATGGCATTTTTACTTACTGTATGTAAAAATTGTATTAAGAACCACCACAAGGGCTTCACAATTGTATTCAAATGTGCTTTGGAGTTGCTGCACAGCCCCTCAGTGATTCAACACCAACTCTGGAGAAGACAGACATACAAAAAGCCAATTAGCTCTAAAACCAAACTGCTACCAGGAGTTACTGTGCAAGAAGCACAGACTGTCTGGAAGCTGCCCATCTACAAAGAGCCATTTTTTAAAATCTGGAATTAGGGAAATTTATCCATCTCCCTAATAACCTTCATCTTTTATATGCAGGGGTGTCCTTCTGACAGTCAGTCCAAACTTGCAGTTTCATAACTACCCTCATTCTACACTGAAAGCAAAGTTTATGCTGCAGACTATCACAGATATTTTCACTGCAGTTAGCCACCCACAATATTCTCAAACTCCAAAAATCTTCAAAGAGTCCCAAACTTTTATTTGAAAGCAATACCTAATTATTTATATGCAACAGAAATGAGCATAGAGATTACTGATTAGGAAGAAAGCAGACATTTAGAAACGTTGTTTGAATGTATTTCTAAAATGTGCTATCCTGTTCTCAAGTATGCTGAATTGCATTCCAGAGAGGGGCGTGATACTGTTACTCATCCCTAATTTTAAACACTAGACAAAAAAAAAAATCTAAAATTAAAATGCTATTTGTGATATTAACACATGGTATAAAACTGAAAATTAATAAAAGCAAATTTTGCAAGTCAGCATCTGGCCCAGGAGCAGAATAAATCACAACTATTACCCAACAACAGATGGCCTTGACTTGGGCCAAGAGTTGCACTTAGACGACAATTTAAATAGATGATGGAGGCTTCTGGCAGAATGACTGGAAAAATATCAGTCTGGAAAGACAATATTTCAAATGAGACCCCCGTTTCAGCATTCTCATTTTGCTTTTGATCATCTCTACAGTTCAGTGATACTGAAGTCAGATATCTGATGGACAAATAGATAAATACAGACATAGAAACTAAAAATCCAGCCACAAATACATTACCTTAATTTAATAAGTTGGAATACTGAAGGACATTTTTCGTGGGGATAAATTATGAAGACGTTACTTGCTAAACTTCTGATTAATAATCACATCTACTAAGTCATTGTCACCACAAAACATCCAGAAATATCATTAGAATATAGTTAATCAGAGCTGTAAACACTTAGAAATTAGGCACCCCTACAGAATGAATTTCCTGACTGAATCTTTAGTCTGCTGGCTAATTCAATGCCTGCTAATCAGCTTCTGGACTCACCAACATATGGAACTGCAATAAGGATTCTGAGGCTTCTTACATATAAGATCAGTGTTATCAGGGCTCTAACAGGGATTAAGCTTTGGAGCCTCATGTATCTCTAAGCCCCAGAGGCAAAAGGCAATGGAAATCCTGTTCTACTGTGCTAGAATATACAGCCTGCTCCTGTAGCTTCAGCCTGACCCTCATGACATGTGGTTTGGTACTTAAAGTCCCTCCTACCTAGATACATGAAAATATACGGGCATTTTAACTTGCATTTGAAAAACAAAAAAATTGTTTCTAACTCATAGTTAAAGGACATAAAACATCACCACTGCATACAATGAAGTTGCATTAAATAGAGAAAAAACATGCTTTTCCTGGATCTTTTTGATTTCATTTTGTTTCTTAAACTATCATCATTTCATAAGCTAGACTCCTGGCTTTTAAATTAATAGAATTGGCAATATTGCTGGGTTTGGCTTTTGCAATGCATGTCCCCTCAGCTACAGGCATCTCCCTGGGAGCACTACTGCACCTCCCTGCAGGCAATCTGCTGAGCTCTTCCTCCATTTCAAAGAAACATGAAGGAATTAATCCTCACAGTATGACTATGATGGAGGAAAATATTACCAGAGCTATGGGGAATGTTTAGAGTGAATGTGCATGCATTTGAGGGATACCCAAGTGACACAGGACACAAAGGAACAGATTTCCAGCCCTGCAAGGCTCTGCACTCTCAGCATGAGCTGTCTTTCCTCCTCTCCCAGAGGTTACTATCTGTCAAATCAATTCCCCTAGATTTTTCTTACCTTCTTAGTTGTTGTGCTTAGGTATGGATAAGTATTTTTCAAAAGCCTTTTCTAAGGTCTTGAGCAAAAGCATTGAAAGACCAGAAAATAATTAACGTAACTTGATTTAGATGTCCTTTGTTACAGTGCATTTATCACATCTGCCAGTGTGAACACTGCTTGTCATGCTATGGCAGGGCAAACCAAGCCTGACCTTCCCAGTGGTTTGGAGCATGTACCCTGCAAAGTACAGATGCGATCCATGTGGAAGCCAAGACTCCACTCCTGTAAGACAGCCCCTACCTCACTTCCCACAGAGACCTGGTGAAGAGGTCCAAATGAGCCCTGCTCTTTGTTAAGAGATCCACCTCTGACCAACTAAGGACAACCTTTGTGAAAACAAGTGACATTTGTCCCTTTACAGGAATAAAAGCTCCAAGGAGACTGGAGTAAAATACCAAAGGAAAACTTTAATGTGGTGTTCTTGCAATTGCCTTGACGAGGAGATTTGATCTTTACCATTGCCTTGGAGACCAGCTACGTGCTAGAATATTGCAACGATCAAAGGCACTGCCAGAGCAATGGGGGCAGATAGCCAGGCGCCTCTGCATGCCAAAGGGCACCCTGTCCAGCAGCTTCACAGGACTTCTTACAGTAAACAAACACTGTAGCTGGGCATTTTTCATCTCTGTTTATGACTAAGAGGTCTCCCAGGGAATCATGCCTCAATCTCTTCCAGCCTGAATCTTCATGCTGTGATTCTGGGACCACATTACAACTGCTGCCAGTACAGGCTGAGGAGCTTCCCACATCCCACTGAAGCGCTGGCAGCTTCCCAAAGCTCTTGGGGGTACCATTTTTCTTTA